AACCACCATGATAGCCACTTGTATGTGACAACTTGGCTGGGCTGCAAGGTGACCAGACATGTGACCAAACATATTTTGGTTGTTTCTAGGAGAGTATTCTTAGATGGGAATATAGAGTATATTTAGAGAAGACTGAGTCAGGCCGATTGTCTCCAATAATATGAGTGGGTCTTATCCAGTTAAAGGTCTGATTGGAACAAAAGGCTGACTTGGACCTTTCCCTGAATAACAGAGAATTCTCCAGCATATTAGAACATCAACTCTTCTTGGTCATATAGAGACATGTGGGCTTTCACCCTCAAGCCAGGAAATTTGCACTTTAAGTGTGCAAATTTTGGACTTGCTAACCTATAACAGCTCTCTTTCTCTATCTTGCTTTCCTTTCTCTCTCCTTTAAATGTGCATATATATATATACGCACACACATATATATAATCAATTTATTTTTATATATATTATCTCTATAAGTACATATTACATGCATGTGTGTGTGTATAAATGATATTTACTAATTGGTTCTGTTCGTCTATTTAGCATTGATTAATATATCCATTTGCAAACATTGCTTCCCATCCCTCTGGTTTTGAGCCCATACAGTTTAGAAGTTTAAAACCAAAAAGAGAAACCTGCTATTATGGAAGACAGTATTCTTGGAATCATATCTTCATGAAATCTGTTATATATATTAATAAATTTTGAAAAGTAGTAAAAAAATTTAAAATCATGGCTGGCGCTGTGGTGTAATAGGCTAATCCTGTGCCTGTGAGCGCTGGTTTGTGTCCTGGCTGCTCTTCTTCTGACCCAACTCCTGGCTTACGGCCTGGGAAAGAAGTGGAGGATAGCTCAAGTGCTTAATTAGGCCCCTGCACCTGCATGGGAGACTCTGAAGAAGATCCTATCTCCTGGCTTTGGATCAGCCCAGTTTTGGCCATTGTGGCCATTTGAGGAGTGAATAAGAGGATGGAAGACCTTTCTCTCTATCTCTTCCTCTGTCTGTAACTCTGCCTCTCAAATAAATAAATAAAAATATTTTTAAAAATGTAAAATGGTAAATTAAAAAAAGTTCTCAATGAATGAGAAGCTGAAACTGCTATCTGGGCATTTTGAGGTTCTTCATGCCACTTGAACAAACAGGCAAAAATTATGTTTGCATCTGATTACCAAAAAAGTAATTGGTTTGATGATATAAAATGGAAACAGACACCATTAGGAGAATCTGAACTCCTATCATTAACTTAGTTAGTATTTTCTAGGTTGACTAGGGTAATTAGCAACCCACAATCTTGATACTATATCCTAATAGAGTTTTTTAGATCATTCATTCTATAGAGATCATAGGTAACTCAGGGCTTCTCTTCCTGCCTTCAATTTATGATGCAAGATTTTGAGACAGACTATCACTGCTAGTCATTATGGTTAAGGAAAAGAAAATGTTGAAAATATACTTCTGCCCAGAGACCAGTGCTAAACCTAGTGTGAGAGGAAGTACAATAAAATCAAGTGCCTGGGAGATCCTTAGTAGATGCACTAATGTACATGTATATTGAGACTCTATGAATGAAGAGGAAATAGAAGGCCATACCAAGGATTTTAGAAACCCAGGGCATGAAGATGAACAAACTGCATTAAATTGTGGGTTGTCTACACTGTAGGAAGTCAGGAGTTGTGTTTCAGCTATGTTTAATAGTAGCAGTATGTTGACCACCATAACTTTTGTCATTTTACATGTTCTTTATGGAAGGGATATTGGTCATCCCATCTGTAGGACTGTACAGTATGGACACCTGTGGTTAAATCCTATGAAGAATTAACCTTTTGTCTTCAGGGTATAGAAGTGACATTGGCTTTGAGGAAACAAACCACTGGACCGTCAGTCAACATGTCCCAGCCAGCTGGGACTGTAGCACGAGGGAAAAAAGGTGGACCAGGAGATATGCTTGTTCTGAGATCTGAAATGTGAGGAGTGAAACAAGAACATCCACTATTACTGCACTCAACTGTAGTCGCAAAGGACTTCACCCTCTTATTTCTGCTACTCTGATTTCTCAAATTGTCCTGATTTCTGTGTTTTCTGAAAAATCATTCTTCATTTTTTCACTAATTCTTAATGAACAATCTCATAAGTTTCCAACAAAGCACATTTGGGAAGATAAGCTAGATTTCATTTCTGTCACTTACAGGAAAATAAATTCATATCATGTTTACATTTACAATTGATTGGATACATGCAAATAAAAATGGCAAGGATATATTTCCATCAATCACAATGGACAAAAGTAGAACTGAAGACAGGCAATTTGAGGGAAGTTGCTGGAGAGCAGCATTTTGTACTGTTGCTGTGGTTATAGTTTTATATGAATTTTTGGATAGCTATTTGGTGGAACCTGACACAATTATAATTTAAAAATATAGCAACTACAGCAACTTAGTCTATGAAAATATTTGGAAAATTTTTGAAAATAACCCAGATGAATTGACAAGAGTTTTTAGCATATTGGATAATTAAAAAGCACCATATAATTTCCATCAATAATGGAATAGTTATGAAAATTTTTAGAATACCATGCAGCTTTTATAGATCATGAACTGATCAGTATCTACTAAAATGGAACAATGTCATCATGTTTTTGGGTTAAAGATGCAAGTCTACATTCTAAATTATGTAAAAATCATTTACTTATCTATCCAACACACATGTGTCTAGATATCAATATGTGATACACAATTACTTTATGTGTATATATTAGATCATTTGGGAAGATATGCCTAAACAGAGGTGATTCCTAGGTGGAACATTGACTGAAAGAAGTCTTTATCTAAATTCTCAAAAATATTTAGTGTGTACTTTCTGCAACAACAAAAAAAGATAGATAATGATAGATAATATATATAGATAGGTATAGATAGATAATGATCTCCAGTTCCATCTATTTTGTGAAATAAGCCAGACACAGAAAGACAACTATTGCATGTTTTCTCTTATATATGGAAGTTAATATAGAGTATAAAAACCATGTCCATATCCTATTACTTGGTCTATAGATAGTTAAAAATATTGTCTACATTAAATTTTATGGTCTACATGAAAATATATATCCTTCTTCTTTCACTTAATGCTTATTATGAATCCCACATTATGTGATTTAAAAAATCTCCATTTTCAAGAAAAGAAATAGTATATTTGTGTATATATCTATATCTATCTATCTCTATATATATATCTAATATGAATTGTTAAATCTTAAACAGAATTTTAAAAATGCCTCCAGGAACACAAAGAAAAAAGGGAATATCACGCTGTACAGCATAAATATTTATAATTATTTTGAATAAAATATTTTTAGTAAAAAACAAAAATAGAATAGAGGTAAAAGGATGCCTAAAATTGGAAGAACAGAAGTAAACATTCAGATATTTCTAAAGAATGGCACAAAAAAAAATGAAAAGAGACATCAAAGCTAAAATCAGCGTTATCGCTGTCTGTTCACATTAAACCCCAAACTAGTTATGCTATTATTAATTATTAATTAATATTAGAAATACTATTGATAAATAGTAACCCTGACTGAGGATATACCATGTGGAAAGCCCTTTGCTCTTTGCGTCACAGGCATTCGTCAAAGGAACGTCAGCCTGTCCTATGAGGCAAGAACTATGTGTTTCCATACGGAAACACAAGACACATAGAGGTTAAGTTATCAAGCTGGTGTTTAGTAGACCAAGAGACCTGTTTGCTCATGAAGTAAGAGGCATTGTGGATTTACATGGTGAGGTGGATCTACAGGTGTTTTGAAATGGCTAAGCTTTTGAATGCAACATTTCTTAATCCTACAGAATAAGAGCTGCCCCTTTGAAGTCCACAGAATAACAAAGGGCAAGGAAAAGAGCCCTCCTGAAGCTGAGCTCTGAGCACCTATCTAGACTGCATGTGAACTTGGCTTCATCTGCACGGGGGCTTTCTGCCTGTGGCTCACTCAGGCAATGGCCTGCACATGCTCCTGTGGATTCTGCCATTGGAAGCCGACCCAGGCAGGGTTCTGAATGAAACCCCCGGGGGCAAGCCCTCCTTCTGCAGCTGGGGACAACCACTGGTCACTGCGTGGGCTTTGGAAACTCAGCCCTGACAGCAGGCAGCAAGGGAGTAGAAGAAAGGGATGAATGAAATGTGGAAACCTATGCTAAATAATTGTACTTCATGAATATTTATTTCATATAGGGCACAGAGGTCTCAATTTTATTCTGAGTTTTTACAAGAGTACAAATTCCAGACTGTCTCTAATTGCTGCGAGGGACCTGTCATGCTCACTTGAAATCATACTTTTTATTTGAAGAAGCACGCAGACAGTTTTTTAGGACTTCCTGTCCCTGCAGTGCTCTCTGGCCTACCCTCATGTCCATGGAGAGAAAGGCGGTCAGTGGAAAAAGGAGGCACTCCAGAATTAACCAGGCCAAATGAGTGACAGTTTGTTTCTGTGCATGTTTATGACATCAAAAGCATATGGTTTATGCTTTTTTAAAAATTTTTATCTCGCTACATCTTATCTATCAGTGATAAAGTAAGAGAGTAACATTCATTCCACTTTGTAAGTAGTAAATGAAAAAATCATATTACAGTTTCTATTCTTTGCTAACTAGATTTCCCTTTACTCTTCAGCAAATCTATATTTTAGATTAATAAGTAAAACAAAGGAGGGAAGTTCTTCAAACCTCTGATTTAGTACTTTAAGCACTTTGTGTCTGTGTGTGTGTTGTATTACTGAGTGGTACTTGCATTGTTCCCCATTGTTTCCAAAGGAGGGAAATGTGTTTGAAATGAGCTGTTGGCTAATTGGAAAGACAGAGTCTGCATTGTTTTATCGTATGTTGTTGACATTCAATTTATTTTATATACTGATCTGGCTGCTGCATTAAAATAAGATTATTTCTAAATACATCAGGCTGCTGATTTAATTAGCTGCTATTAAGTGAGTTAATAGTAATGATATTATCCTTGGACTTACCCTGGCATCGGTCCATTTCCAGCAAGACTGTAAACCTGACGAGGATTTAGTAGGTACTGGAATTTTCTGTAAATTCTATAAAGGTAAAAATATGGAAAACCAGGAAATTTAGTGATATCTAGTATTTTTAAGTAAATCAAATTTCCTTAGTTTTATACTTATGAGGGTACTTCAAAATTTCCTGGATAAATGGAATGAAAAGATAAGTTTATATTAGTACCAACAATTACTGAAATCTGTGCATGTTCTTAGATATTTAATAGTTCAACAGCAACCAATGGTTCTTTTGGGAAAAAAAAAGATATTAGTAGCAATATTTTATGTTAGAAATAATGTAATGCTTGCATTCTAAGTATACATATTCATTGAGTATATTCTCTAATCTGTTTTCGAACATGATTTAACCAATTATATTTCAAATAAATATTTGTAAATATTTCAGTGTAAAATTAGATATCATCTCTCAACAGATTCTTGCAAATAGATCCTACTTTCTGTAGAACTCAATATTAGGTTACTGAGCCAATCGAACAGATAGTGAAAATATCTCGTTGGAATATATTACGTTGGAATTGTACACATCAGATGAGTTAATGGAGCCTCACCTAGTCTAATCATTTCACATAAGCAACTATCTCCAGCAATCAGTCCACAAAATTCTCAAAGGCCCAACAGGCACATAGCAAGGATTCATTCTTTTCCTGAAGTAAATCAATCTTTGTATCACAAATGCAACAAAAATGTGTCTCAGTACATATATATCCCATATGGTGGACATTCTCAGACAAAACATTAAAAGTGAAGGGATATATTTAGTTTTTTTTTTTAAATTAGTTTGCATGTACATGCAAACATTACTGTATATTTTATGAACACATTCATATATTTGCTGATGGAAATTCTCCAAATTCACTTTGTAGTATCTTCTTACATAAACTCACCTCTAAGTCTGCAATGAACCCCGCACTTGACTTATATTATCTTAGAGTCGTCCTCAGTACTCTCTTTTCTCTGGCACCTACACCCCATTACTGGACAACCTGTGCTTTGTACTGATTAATGTCTATCAAACCTGGCTATTTTATCTCACTGCCTTACAGCAGGCCTGAAAACTCTTCACCAGCCAGCTCTATCCAATCTTGACGATCCAGTCCTGCTCTATACTGCTATTTAAGTGCAGTTGCACAAAAGTTCCTGCTGCTGTCAAGTTATTCACAAGAGAAAATTCAAACATCTTCTCAACACGGCCACAGGGCATCTCAGCTTTCACCTGGGAAAACTCCTCCAGGCTGACACCTTGCCCGTCTCAAATCTGTCTTTGTCCTTCCTTCCTCTGGCAAACATCTATTTGTATCAGAACCAATACAAAAGCCGCCGTTTTCATGGATGGCTATTTCCTCCTCTGAACTTCCTTAGCATCTTTACTTTAAACATTTCTAGTTTAACACTGACCATATGGCATTGCAACATATCTGTTTAGAAGCCTGCCTCCCGGCATGCCTTTGTCTTGTTATCTTTTATCCCTGTGCCTAGCAGTTTGTATTGGCCCAGGAGTTGCTGTCTGGATGAGTGATATGTGAATACTTCTTCACACCTGTGGACCTGAATGGGAAACTTTGTTTTGAGTATAGAATTCGGTGACCTTTTCCAACATCTCTAACTGATCAAAGTCAAGAAGATGGCCAAAAACGATTGGAAAGGAAAATGCTGAGTTGTAACCCACAGTGAATGGTGCATGCTGGGAAATTTATGTTTTCTTCATAATAGATCTCCCTTCAAATGTATTTATGTTTCATTCGACTTTGAATGGTCCCAGTCAGTGTATAATAGGCAAAACCCAAGGGGGTGGGCATATCTGAATACTCAGAGGTGCCCTTTCTACCCACCAAATTTAATTTCCTTCTGTATGTTGTTTTTTTAACTTAGACAAAACTAAATGAAAGATCTCTGTGAGTGAGATCCCAGTGGAAAGAACAGGTCTTCAAAGAAGGAGGTACCTTTCTCTGAAGGGAGGAGAGAACCTCCACTTTGACTATGATCTTGTCTAAACAAGATAAGAGTCGGAGAACTCAAGGGGCTTCCATAGCCTTGGAAACTCATGACTGGTGCATAGGGAGATTACTGATGCCATAGACAGGAGTGTCAATTGGTAAAGTCAACAACAGGAGTCACTGTGCACTTACTCCTCATGTAGGATCTCTGTCCTTAATGTGCTGTACATTGAGGCTTAATGCTATAACGAGTCCTCAAACAGTATATTTCACTTTGTGTTTCTATGGGGGTGCAAACTGTTGAAATCTTTACTTAATGTATACTAAACTGATCTTCTGTAAAAAAAAAAAAAAAAAAAAAGAAGAAATTATCAATTCCCAACTTGACTCTCACTGGGATTAAACATGACAATAGGTCTGATCTGATTTCATCATCATTTAAAAAATCATCTATTATTTTTCACTTTATGTTTCTGTGTGGGAGCAAACTGTTGAAATCTTTACTTAATGTATGCTAAACTGATCTTCTGTATATAAAGAGAATTGAAAATGAATCCTCATGTGAATGGAAGGGGAGAGGGAATGGGAAAGGGGAGGGTTGCGGGTGGGAGGGACATTATGGGGGGGAAGCCATTGTAATCCATAAGCCGTACTTTGGAAATTTATATTCATTAAATAAAAGTTAAAAAAAAATGTGTCCTGTAACAAAAAAGAAGGCAGATTCCAGCTCAGGGCCATGCTACTTGATTAATATTATCTAATTTGAGGGGGATTTCTGTTCCTCTGAAAACATATTTTAATTCTTTTTCTCTCATGACTCCATTTGTCTCTAACTTCCAACATATATTTGTCTTATCTAATTATTTGGGAAGCACTTCTTGAGTTTTTTTTTTTTTTTCTCAAGTTACCTCAAATACACACAACTGACAGAGTTAAAGTCATCAAGAAGAAGTCATTTTAGTACGATTAAATTACTTACTATCTTGAATCTCTATAAGCAAGGCTGGTATTTTTTGTGATACCACATAGTGAAAAGTGCAGTTATTAAGCTATTATAAAAATAATTTCTATCATGTTGAGTAGAGAAGACACAGACTTGTACATTAAGGAAAGGGAAAACATTTTTAAAAAGAAACAATTTCTTGTTGATAGAAAAATGAAGACTAGCCTTCCTTTTCTTGAAATAAGTTTAGAAGTTAAATGGTCAGGATGGAAGTTACTTTTCAAAATGTCATGATTTTTGATAACATTTCAACTTTGGCAAGCCACAGAGGAAACTTGTTTTCCTGTCATAGTGTTTGCCTGGGTGTCTTAATCCATTGGCCAATTTCTGGTTGGGATTAGGAAAGACATCTAGGAAGCACCTGGCCAGTTCAGCTGCACTTTTGTTCTGACTGTTCTTTTAAATAAGACGTGAGATTGACTCTTCAACGTGGTGAAGCTCATGTGTTCATTAAATATCATTATCTAATCCCTAATTTGTTACAAAGTGATATTTCATGTTACAGCTAGAATACTGAGATACATGACAATGCAGATGAAATCGACTGTACTTCTCCAGGAAGTACGGCGTCATGTTCTCCAAAATTTACATGCAGAAAATTATCCCAATATATTTTGCCTAGAAGCTGTGTATAAATTCTGTCCCTTAGTGCTTATGATCATGAGGTAAATCCTTATGATTTACCTCAAATCACCTAGAAATACTTAGAGAACCCATTTTTATTCAACAGCGTTTATGAAGCCAGGTTGAATGGGAAGCTCTTTGCTAAGGGCTAGGGGTGACAGCTGGGGTAGCGCTCATGCTAGGAAACTAAGAATATTTACAGAAGTTCATTAGAAGAAAATTTCAGCTATAAAACGAAGAGCCATCATATCAATATATTTCGTGCAGATGCTAGCAACCTATAGTCAACATCAACATAGGTAACTTTTTAAACATTTAAAGAAGTAACATTTTAAACATTTTTCTATCTTAATTTTGGTCGATCTCAATGCATATCTGAGATAGAAAACAATGATAATTTTAAAGAACATACCGTTCTCCTTGCTTCCCACCACTTTTGGGGTTCACAAAAACTAAAAGTGGGTGAGTACCAGGAACAGGAGTGATCTGGAAAAAAATTGGGATATACATACAGACTATTAGGTGCATTTTGCACGTCATCTCCAAGTCACAAAACAGCAATTTGCGATTTCAAGAATGTGACATTTCCTTCTGTAAGGATTACCAACAGGAACATTCCCTCTGCAAATATGGGCAGAGTTAGCAAGGAACAGAGCAGACAGGAAGAGAGTTAGGAAGTGGAGTAAGGTTTGTAATACCTGTGGCACGAAAACAAGGATCAGGGTCTGTGGAACAACGCATAAACCAGCCACAAGAAAGATGTGAAGAATTTGAAGGGAAGCGACCAGATGCAAAGAAAGAGACCAGATCATAGACAAGCCCTCCTTTCACACAAGAGCCCTAACTCAGAGCTGCATGGTCTGAATGAAATCCATCTCACTAAACAGCGGTGAAGCACAAACTCTCTGAGATGGCATGAGGCTCCTTTCACCCGAGAGTCCCTGTCCACACCACCTTCCTTGGACACTTCCTTTCCTGGCGTGCTGAGTGCATACCCGCTAATCACATCGACACTTCCATTAAATATGGCCTCACTTTCACTTCCCAGGAATTGACTGTGCAGGCGCTATGGGCCACGTGTTGCTTTCATCCCTACTGACTTTTCTGCAGAACAAGCAAGACATAGGGCCTATCTAGTAGCACTTAGACCCGTGTGGAGAAAATGTGCCATAAATTAAGAAATAAGCAGCTATACCTTTAGCGCTAAAACTTGCTAACAAGGGAAATAAAGTAGTAAAGCAATAAACTTATGCTGTCACTGGATAGAGTTGTCTTTAGGTCCAGCAGTGCAGGCTTGTATTTTACTGGACCTCAACGCTAGGAGGTAGACTTTTAAAATCAAAATATTCCTATTCACTATGCTACCATCTAAATACAGCTGGGTAAGAAGAATAAAAATAAAAAAAAATGCAGCATAAAGGAGCCCTCTAAATATTAAGTTGAAAAGTTTTAGATCAATCTTCTTTTGGAAAATGGGCTCCAAGAATCCTGATGGTGGTCTTATTTCCTGTGTAGAAAGTAACCCTTAATATTTAATGAAACAATTAACAACAACCATTCCACCATATCACTCTCCTCCTTCCTGTCTGTTTAAACAATGTAAGTTAAAATGTTTTACCAACGTATTTTACTCCACCTCTGAAGCAAAATGTCATTCTTCTAATGAGTCTAGGCAGTGGGAAAATGTTAAAACCTTCACATTAGTTAAATAAGAAGGTGAAGACAGTCTTGAGTTTTTGACCCTACACCTTCTAGTTCTCATTACATCTATCATCTCACAGCCTGTGTAGTACTAGCCTTTGTAAAGAAGGCAATGGTTCTTTATCCCCAATTTTGTATCTAACTCAGCTGGGACAACTTCTGCAGGAACTTCCCAGTTTTCCCTTGAACCAGATGTGCACAACCAATGCACCTAAAGTTCCTAATAGTGTAAGTCCATTCTACTGCTACTGGATTGGAACTCATACCATGTCTACCCATGGTGGCTAAAATGAGGTTGTGGTGCAGCAGGGTAAGCCACTGCATGCAATGTTAGCATCCCATATGAGCTCTAGTTCAAGTTCTGGCTGCTCTACTTCTGATCCAGCTCCCTGCTAATGCACTTGGGAAAGCAGCAAAAGATGGTCCAGGTACTTGGGTTCCTGCCAACCATCTGGGAGACTTGAATGAATCTCCTGGTTCCTGGCTTTGGCTTGGCGCAGCCCTGGCCGTATCGGCCATCTGGGGAATGAACTAGTGTATGGAAGATCTCTCTCTGTGTCTCTCCTTCCCTCTAACAACGCCAACCCCACAACAGAATTCTTAGGTTTGAAAGCCAGAGACCTTCAGTACTCCATAGTCATTTTCAAGTCTAGTAAGTTAAAAATAACTAACTGTTTTGTTCAGTAATAGTCTTGATAAAAAGCAATGGCATTTTAGTGACTGATGCTGCTATTGGCACTCAATTCCCATATTCCTTTTCTTCCTGAGTTAAAGAACCCTGGGCAAAGATTTAATGTTCCCATCATATTTATACTTTAGAAGTTGCAGTTACTGCTTACAGAACGTGTGTGTGTGTGTGTGTGTGTGTAACTCGGTATCTCCTAAAGAAGTAGAAAAATGTGTTTTGATTCTATCTGATGAGATGTCACTGGAAGTCACTGTGGACAGAATTGTGTCCCCTGTAATTCTGATGTTAAAGCCCCAAGCCTCAGTGTAACTGTTAGCATTTGGGGATGGAGCCTCAGAGGATAACAGGGGTTAGACAAATACGTGAGGATGGGACATGCAGGATGGGATTGGCGCCCTACAAAAAGAAGAGCAGATGTATCTCTTCTCTTTTTCTCTTGGCATATAAAGTCAAGGTCACGTAAGCGTTTGATGAGATGCTGGTCACTCACAGGCTAGGAGGAGACCTTGCTGGTCCCACCCAGCGTACAGTAATGTGTTTCATCAGCCCCGGTACACCAAGAGGGAACTATTCTGTAGGAACTCAAGGTAGATGCTCCAAAAGGAAGAATGAGGACCTCCAGCCTTCCTCCTGACACCTGCATGGAATCTGAAGATCACAAGCAGAAGCAACCATGCTTAAGTAGAAAGTGACCTTGAAGATGCCACAGTGAGGACAGGAAACAGAAGGATGGCACTGCCACTGCTGGTGAAGACAGGGGGTTGTCTTTCCAGATATCCTACTTGTAAACCTCATTAACCAGAGACAAATCTGTGACTGTCTTATTCAAGGCACTGTTATGGTTTGTTGGGTACTTACTTTTGCTATTTCCTTGGTACATTCTATAAAATCTGATTGTATTTAATGGACAGACAAATGCCCAGGGGGCTCAGAATTGGATACTGATAGAATCAGGCACAAGGAGACATTTTATCTTTCACCTAAGTTGTTGATGTCCACAGTCCCTAAGCAACCTGATCACAAGCCCCAGAATAGACTCTGTATATTAGTTTATGTTGTACTCCCTCATTATTGAATATGGGCATACTCATTTACAATCAATCCCTTTCCAAATTAGATAGTCTCAGATAAAGAAAACATGTAGGTACTAACAGATACAATTTTTTAAGTTAGTTAATTCAATCTGACAATTTGATTTCAGAGAGGTCACTCAGGTAAGAACTAATTTCCCTCTTCTTTACAGAATTTGGTTGGGAGAGGATTTGTATTGTAAGTCAAATCATATTTACTGGATAAATGAACAGAAAACAATTACATATTTTTGAAACTTAGCATCTCTGACTTCAGTAAATAAAGCTTTCTGGAAATGTTCCACAATAACGTTTTTGCAGTTTTACATTGATATTTCTATATATTTAGGCAATCTCAAAATTTCAGTAATGTTACAAGGCCTGCCCAAAGATCTTTTCCTGTGTACTACTTGAAAGCAAACAGCCAGATTTACGCTCCTACAATCTCATTTAGTTTAGTATTGCCTACCCACCAAAAGCATTCTCTTACAAAATACAACACCACCATCTAAACCTGGGAAATGATTCTGGGTTAATTTCTTTTCTTTAAAAGATTGGGACAACAGCTGAAACTCGAATGAGATCTGAATATCAGAGAGTAGTCATGTATCAATGTTTTGTCAATTTTACTAATTCTCTCGTGGGCTCTATCTAATCTATTCTTCAACATGATCAGTTCTGAGTTTTATTTTCATATACAAAGTTTGAAACAAGATGTAGAAGTCAGAAGATACTTTAATAACTATTTGATTGCCATCCATAAATGTTATACATTTTGTGGGGTTGGAGGCAAAAGAATAAAACACAAAAATATCCAAAATTCTGCCACCATGAAACTATTGTTTCTTGGAAGTACACATACAAAAAGCATTTGTGACCATCTTAAGTAGAACATCATACATAAGAGATGATACGCTAGCTGCTTGATGTACAGCATGAAGACACCCTGAGCCTGTTCCCAATTTCCCATCACCCCACCAGAGCCCTGTCTGAAAAACAAGAGTACAACAAAGGGGATATTGACAAGAGGAGAGAGTGTTCCAGAAATATTTTATTGCACCTGTGGTACATGGAATCTTGAAGAAGGGTTATAAATTAGGTGTGAAAGGCATTCCAGAAAGAAACTGCTCAGTCTCCTCTCCACTGAATATAGCCTGTCTAATTTATTTATTCAGAGAAAGCAGACATTTTGTATAACAAATGTAAAGAACATGACTTTGCAGTCACAATTGTTTTGGATACAAGTTCAACCATTCTTTGCTGTAGATATTCTCTTCCTTACTTGTCTCACTTTTTCCAGTGCCCTTAAGTGCCTTCAATCTGCCTGCCTTTTTCTTTTTTCTTTTTTTTTTTTCTCTTGACAGGCAGAGTGGACAGTGAGAGACAGAGAGAAAGGTCTTCCTTTACCGTTGGTTCACCCTCCAATGGCCGCTGCACTAGCCCGCTGTGGCCAGCGCACCACACTGATCCGAAGCCAGGAGCCAGGTGCTTCCTCTGGTCTCCCATGTGGTTGCAGGGCCCAAGGACTTGGGCCATCCTCTACTGCACTCCTGGGACACAGCAGAGAGCTGGACTGGAAGAGGGGCAACCAGGACAGAATCTGGCACCCCGACCAGGACTAGAACCTGGTGTGCTGGCACCATAGGTGGAGGATTAGCCTATTGAGTTGCGGCGCCCGCCCAATATGCCTTTGACTCACAAATTCATATCTGCTCCTTCTCCTGAATTCTAGATTTCTGCATTGGACTGCCTACTTGAAATGTGCATGAAAACCCAAAAGGACTGGAAATTCCTCCCCCAACTTCATTCCCTCAGACCCTGCTCCATCTCAGCTGATGGCAACTCCATGTTGCAGTTGCATGGGCAAACAGTTTGGAGATGTCCCTAACCCCACTTTCCCACAAACACTGTCTCTTTCTCATCAGCATGCCCCTCTGACACTGTTCCCAAAGTATGTCCAGGGTTCTATTACATCTCTCCACGGCCTCTGACAAGCTTTGGGGTAAGTGTGGTGTTGCCAGGAAGCTCTGCTCCCCAACAATCTAGTCTTAACAACAGAAGCCTATTAAATACTGGAAGTTCTTGTCTATTAGGGTTTTCAAAAAGTCCATGAAAAAGTGTTTTAGGACAAAACTGTGCGTGGATTTCAAAATGATTTGTGGCAAAATAACACTATATTTCAATCTAATTTTCCACCATTTTTGGAAGTATCTTTGTAACTGAAATCATATTACTGCTCTGTACAAATTCCCCCAATCCCAATATCTCCTCATCTCATTCAATTCAAATGTCAAACTCTTTATGCCGCCCCTAAGGGCTTTAGAGAACCCAGCTCATTGCTCCTGTAAAGTACTCTCTATCATCTTCCACGCTCACTCTGCTCTAGCCATGCTGATCCTGGAGCTGGCTGGCCAGACACTTACATTAGGGCTGCTCATCCCTATAGGATCCAGACATCACCTTCAGAGTCACGTTACTTAAAATTACAAACAACTTCAACCCTGGACCTTAATACTTCGATCTTACTCAGTTATATTATTTTATGCAATTTAGCATCTAGCACGTAATATATATATATAGAAACAGGGACTCAGTTCAATTGAATGAGTTCTAATAGATAAAAGTATAGAGTGATAATTCTGGGTTTAGATAGGGAGTTAGAATGAAAATGAAGAGCTGGTTAGGAAAAAGTCAACATGGAGGATCTTGAAATAAGCAAGGGACACACAAATCACAGAAGGGAATTTTATGCACCCTGTGCAGTTATGTGTGTTGTTTCGTTGATGACCTTGATCATTACTAGAATGAGATTTTTGCAAATAAGATAATGGAGAGAAACAGTTGTAGGTGGGAAACACAGGCTCCATTTTGGCTAGTTGAGTATGAAGGTCTTTTCTTGCATGCGAAGTATTGGAAACCAGATTCTTCAGTTCTCAAATGTCATTTGTAAATTTTTCTCAAAGAATATTTAGCAAAAAGGTCACTTCAACCTAGAACAGTTTAAACACTTGTTCTGGTTTTCTCCTTATTTGGTCCCAGGTGGGGCAATCATTTGTCTTCTTGGACACTTGCATGGTCAGAAACTATACTTTCCATCCCTTTCGATCATATGTATGAAGTGTAAACCTAGGGTGTGAGCCGTGACAAAGACAGAGTGCCTAACACCTCGATGGGAAGTCCCCTAGGACTTGGGTTAATTAATGAGACTCATCCTAAGCTTATACATGATCTATTACTTCCTCTAATTAGAAATAATAATCCTGATCATTATGCTGGTTATCTGGCAAGAAGTAAGATGAATGTGCCTAACTATGATGAATAGTCTTCTTTAAGCAGTGTACATCTTTTCTGTCACTGAGTTATAGGCAAACTGGGCTGCAACTCAGACTTCTCCATAGTATATATTTTTAAAGTTAACTGAAAAAAAATTTCTGGTTGATCTTTTTATATTTCTTGAAAAATTATAACCACTAATTATTCTAAAATTGATAACCACAATGTACATTACGTATTTTTCTATTATTAAATAATTTTTTCAGGAATTTATTCTTTTACTTTACAAATTGCACCCAGAATTATGAATACTGATGTGTACCATATTTTGATCCATCCTGTTAATATGAAAGCTACTTCACATACGGTATTATACTATTATTTTAATTTACAAAGTTATAGTATTGTTTACCAATGTTTGTTAGGACTCATTTCTACTCTTTGCCTATCGACAATCTTAGCTGAAAGTTTTAAAGGCCATAAAAGTTATAAAAAGTTACTGTGTGATTACAGAGATGAAACATACCCACAGAGAATATCAATCATCTATGAGTTCTAGTGTGACAAATTTAGTTGTAATAATGTCAAACATCTCAAATTTCTTTTGAATAAAAAGTACTTATAGAACTTATATTTTTATGACGGGTTAAAGCTTTTGAAACACTCAGCATGTAGCATTTAAATTTGGGTTGATATCAGAGAACATTCAGATATGATTATGCAATCTGTGGAAGTTGTGATTCTGGTACATATGCGGTTGAGTTCCAATGCTGCAGCAATATAAAGGTGCATTTAAGCAAAGGATGACCTTAAATCTAGAAGTCTGGCTACCCTCATTCGAACCTTGGCTCTAACACAGATTGGGGCTTTGGCCTTCTAAGCACCTATAATTTTAAAAATGGTGAACATAATAATGGTATTGATCTCACATACTCAGAGAATTAAACATGCTATATAGAATGATGTTATTCTAGTAGTTAATTTATACTAAGCATTAACCAATGATAGATGTTACTTGGATTTAAAAATTAGACTTCCCTTTCATTAATCTCATTGTAAGAACTATGACTAAAAAAATTCAACCAATCAAAATTTTTTTCTAATTTTTCATATAAAGGGAACATATTTCATGTATTTCATATATACAGATTTAAGGAAAAAATGATACTTCCCAACCTATCCTCCTGTCCTCAATCCCTTAAACACCCTCCTTCCTTTATTATTTTTCTTTTAATTTTTGGAATGAAAAACAAGACTAACACACCACTAAATAAAGAATTCAACAAGTAGTAAGAAAAAAACCACTCTTATTCAGGAGTATAGGCAGAGGCTATAAATGATAATCAAACCTCTAAATGTCAATTTCACCCACATACATCACTTTTTTGGACTCTGTATATTAGTTACCACAAATTAGGGAAAGCATATGATATTTACCTTGTTGGGACTGGCTGATTTTATTCAATATAATAATCTCCAATTGCATCAATTTTATTACAAAATACAGGATCTCATTCTTTTTTATGGCTGAGTGGTATTCCATAATACCACTATATATATCACAGTTTCTTTTTCCAGTCATCAGCTGATGGACATTTTGTTGATTCCATATCTTACAGTGGATCTGAATATTCTACAGGGTCACTTAGTGAAAATTATTGCTATCAAAAGTGTGCACACAATCTGAGATCTTCAATGGGATTATAAAACACCTATGGACGACTCCCAAAAACTAGATTCTGATTCACTATTTTGTTGATTAAATTACCTATTTCTAACAAAGGGGACAATGTTTTCATAAAGAATTCATATTTTTAAGCCTAACAATTTGTGACAGATTTTCTACTTACAATGGATTTTAAACATTCTATATGAAATCCAAATGGTTACCTAGCTATTGATATTAAAACAATTATTATTAAATTTTAATGAGATATTCAAAACAATAAAGAAGCAAGTAGTCCAACAGGTACTGTGTGCCCTGAGCCATGCTTCCAACAATAAAGAATGAATTACTCTATAATATCACAGATAAAACAATACATGTGAAAAAGATTATATGAAATTACAAATATTGAATGCAAATGTGTGACAGTGTTTTGTGTGCTAAGTGGTGAATGGTTTGTCCAAAAACAGAAAGTATAAATTTAAGAAAATGAATAGCTGATTGGAAAGCAGAAACATATAGGTAAAAAACATAAAATCAATTTCATTGGTTATGCCAACTTTGTGGCTATTTGTCCTATTAAAAAGTCTTAAAATGCAGATGGATGCAGATGGGAAAAAATGTTTTTGATATCAGAGACCTTAGAGGGATACTCATAGGATTTTAAAGTACTAAAAATAAAAGAATTCTGACTTTGGAAGATGTGGACAAATTTTGATAAGCTATTTATTTTAATTATTTATTCAGAAATAAAAGTACTCATACAAAGGAAATTCTTTCCTTTCCTCCTCAAGATGTAAATTTACCATGAAAATAACTCTTTAAAATAATAGCTATTCGAAGTATTATGTTTGTGTATATATGTGGAGCGAGAGACGGGGGAGAGAGAGAGAAAGAGAGAGAGCGCACCTACAAATAAATAACACAGGTATAAAAGTACTCCAAAAAGTTTGTGGGGAAACCAGAATATAAATATAAGTTTACTTTTGAACCAAAAAAATTCAGGTTTTCAAAATATAAAATTTCCATGAAATTTAAAAAGACCTCTCATATATAATAAATGTGTACATTTCATATTAACTTGCAAAAGTTTTTAGATTAGCAAGAGATTTCTTGACAATTGGAGTTTAACATCACAAATGATTATTCTAAACAGAATGTCACTATGTCAATCGACCATGAGGCTGACATCTTGATAAACTGATAAAGATATTTCTGAAGCAGTCCACTAGCTAATAGGCACATTAAATAAACATGTTGATAGTTGAATATAGGCTCCTTGGAGATCACGGAAGAAGTGGATATGAAAGGCACTAAAATATGTATTTCAAAAGACACACCTGTAGGCCTTGGCCATCCACAGTCACAGAGTTGGCTCTCTGCATTTTGTTCCTGTCAGTCACTTTGTTTGGCTGCTGGGAGCCACTCTTTTCCTTTTTCACTGTTGACTGTCTTTCCTGTAAGAAAAACAATACTTTTATAAAAATAAAAAAAATTCAAGACAACAGCATAAAACATGTTGAGTTGTTTTACTACAATGGACAAATGATAAAAAGAGTTTCATGGCTCCGAACTTGGACCCAGCTTTCTAATTTGGAGTTCCCAATGTGTAATATGAAATCTGTTCCCCCAATTGGCTCAACATATATAATGTGTTCATGATTCACGTAGCTGTTAAGGAAATGATGTGAGAGAAAGCCAAATTGTAATTATCCCTGTGTGCCCAATCATGGCTCTTCTCCAGAAGTTATTAAGGACCACACCACTTCAGTATTTTCATAATCAGTGGAACAGATAAATAGTCTAGAATTATAATTTAAAGGATATGATACTATTAAAAAGAAAATAAATGCATGCAATATTGAAGATGCATTGTAATTGCATGATGGACTTTTAAGCTATTGCTTTAAATCATGAATGGTGTGTGGCATAAAACACACATTCCACTTAAGCTAATTCTTTTGCTCTTCACAATGTAATCAAATTTATCACTACTAATCTACTAAGTCAATGTTTTCAAGGGAAATTCAAAAAGTTCATGAAAAATGAATAATATGAAAAAGTATGCATAGATTTCAAACTATTTTGACACCAACATAAAGTCATCCATTTCTTTTCATTTTCCATGAGCCATCTGAACATCATGTGGAAATCCCCATCACCACTGTCTGAACCTCTCAGCAGCATCTAACAGAGCCGATCGCTTCTTACTTCTCGGAAATTTGCCCTGCTTGGCTTCCATTACACTTTTTTTTCCCCTCTGCACTCTGGTCTTGCTGCACTCACCACTCCCTCACTGTCTCTTTTGCTCATTCCTCCCTTGGCTTTGCCATCTGGAAGACTTGGCCTCTCCTTGACCTTCTCATCTTCACTCAATCAGCAACTTCATTCAAATCCAAGCCTTTTCAACATTAACGCTGTGAACACCTCTAAACATAGCACACCTGTTCAGACCACTCACTTGAAGCTGAACTCCCATTTAGAAACAGCTTTCTCTGTCTCCACGTGAGTGTCTAAAACACACCGATCCTTGGACAATGCCTCACCACTTCCATCTCTAGATAGCTGACCCAACCATTGTATTATTTTTTTTTCTTTCTTTCTTTCTTTTTTTTTTTTTTTTTGGAGAGGAGGGGGCTGGATTATTGTAACCATTACCTAATAGATCAATCTGCGTCTATGTTTGTCTCCCTACACTCAGTTCTTTACAAATCAACCACACTCATCCCTTTTTACCTTGAATCAACCACACCAGTGCCCTCACTGTCCCTTAATCATATCATCATACTTTGCACTAAAACTTTCTGGAATCTTCTGGAAAACATGCCTCTATATCCATGCAGGGGGTGGTCCTGACCTTAGATCTTAGGCCAAAGAGTAAAGAGAATTTCTCTACTCCCTCCATCCTCCTTTTCTAACGTTGTTCATCATGATCCAAAGTGCTATTTAATACCAGTGTCTACCACTTTTATTAAAGTTACCTAAAATAAAAGACTGTCTTTGTGTCACTGGTCTATTTCAGATCCTAGATCAATGCCTGACAAAAGCCAGGAGAGATGAATAAGTATATAAAGGAAATTTACCACTAAAAACCCAACTATTTAGAAAGTGTCCAAAGCACAGTGTTGAGAAGGATTATTGGGTCATGCCTAGGCTTGATGAGAAAACTTATCCTGATTGATTAGCAATGCCTGCTATGGGGGCTCTGATTGACTGATTAGGAATGTCTGCTGTGGGTGCTCACGTCCTTCAGAGCCTCGAATTTCCTAGCAGATACATGTCCTCACCTCTCCATTTGTTGGTAGGGGCATAATTTTGATTTCTCTAACTTCAGAAGATATTTTGAGTAGCTTTTAGATATATTGGAGCTAGATGGAAGAGAAGTCTCTGACCAAAATAAATGCTGATCAGTATAGTCCATTTATGTTGCAACTTCATGGTGCAGAAACACTGAATATATTTTGTGTGGCTGAAATGGAAGACGTAATAGCATTCCTAAGATTCAAGCTCTTTGGTAAATTATGTGCTTTCACATAGCATAATTTCTGGCAAAAATATCGATATTTTAAAAGAAAGCTCCTTCTTTGTAAGCTTGTAAATTACAGTTTTGCCCAAAGTATAATACATGAGAAGAGTGAATTATAGGATAAAGTTTGGAGTCAGAAAACCTGAATTGAATCCTATCTCTGCTATGTAAGTATTATTTAATCTAGAAAGATCACTCTTATGTAAAATAGAGAAGTGTTACTATTTCTTACAGTTGCTTAAAGTTTAATATAAAATGTATGAAGTTAGTATCATTGTGCTTATATTAGAGTATGTGCTCAATAAATGCAACTTATTATGAATTATGTAAAATACACATGGCTCCCCACTTGGGTGCTCATTAATTTGCCATTATGCAAAGTGTTTTATATTTCCAAAAACATGTATTTTTTAAAAAATCTACTAGTTACATTAGGCACATGTTTAGGTAAAGCTCAATGCTTATATTTGAAAATTCAGAGTTGGTGCTAAGAGTCTAAAAATGTAATGCTGCTGGGAAGTATGGAAATTAATTATAAAGGGTTTTGCATGCAGGTATATAAAACATGTAATTAATATTTTGTAGAAGCCTACACTGTGAAATATATCCCTAAATACAATTATGTTGCCACATGATCCAATAATCACTATTTAAACTTTAATTACTAAAATGCTCGAGTTAGAGAATTAAATAAAATTAAAGTTGGTTAGTCTTACTGGAACTGCATATTTGTAACAGATTCTGTTTTATGAATAGTAGAAATTTAAAATATGTAAGTTTTCATAAATACATATAAATATATATTCACATATATGCTCATGTTACTACATATATATGTATAAATACTTATGTATAAACATGTGTATATATATATATATATATATATCTTAGTATCACCTGTATGTCTTAGTATCTGTTGATATATATCTTAGATCTACTGGTCTAAATCTTTGTACCTATTAGTATAGATCTTAGTATTTATTTGTACATATCTTAGTACCCATTAGTATATGTCTTAGTATCTATTAGCATAGATCTTTGTATCTATTAATATAGATTTAGTATCTATCAGTACATGTCTTAGTGTCCATTAGTATATGTCTTAGTATCTATTAGCATAGATCTTTGAATCTATTAGTATAGATCTTAGTCTATCAGCATATGTCTTAGTATCCATTAGTATCTGAATACCTATGAGTGTAGATCTCAGTATCCATTAGGAGTGTATGTCTTAGTATCTATTAGTATACATCTTATTAATTAGTATATATTTTATTATCTACTAGTATGGGTCTTAATATCTATTAGTCTATGTCTTAATGTCGGTTAACATGATGTTTATCTTGGCCCACCATAAAGCTAGGGAAGCTCCAGTGTGTCAGGAAGCTTCAAAGAGCAGAAGGAGCAGCTGACTCAGAGCTTCGTGTTCCTCCAAGGGGTCAAGCTTTTGAGTAAGCTAGAATGCAGACTAAATACATGCTTCGCAGTGAATGCTTGTGAAAAGGAAGAACAAATTTTAAAACCCTATATTGTACTGCACTTTGAGATTTGACTTTGGACATCTAGAATTATTTGAAAGAGATATATAGCCAGTTAAGTTTTTAAAATAATTTTAGTATATCCATCTGTAAGTGTATTTTGTTATATAATGCAGCTAACACAAAATTGGGAAGCCAACTATTCACTTATTTATTAACTCCCATTTTTTGATTTACTCCTAAACATGGCTGCCAACAACTGAGGGCTTGCCAAGGACAAAAGCACAAGGAAGGAACTCAATCTGAGTCCCCCACATGGGAGGCAGGGACCCCAGTACTTGAGCCATCATTACCTGCTGCCTCCAGGATTTGCATTAGCAGGAAGCTGAGTTAGGAGCTGGAGTTGGGTATCAAACCAAGGCGTTCGAGGATGTGAATGTTGTAAAGCGCATCTTGACCACTAGGGCAAATGCCTGCCTCTGAACACTTATTTGAATACACACACACTCAAACACACACACACAGTGATTTCTTGGGAGGAAAATCCTTGTGCATGGGATTTGTGGACTGAACCAAGGCTGAAAATTTAAAAGCAGCAGAAACTCACAACCATTTGCTTTTTCCCAGGATTTTCCTGCTACCAGACTCATTTGTTTAATGTTCTTTCCCCCTTGTATGGAAGTCCTCTGACCAGGAGGGCAGCTGGCTACATTCGCCCACTTCCAAATCTTTCCATTTTATGAGAGAGACTATAAGAGGGAAAGGGGAAAAAATAACTGCATTTTTCAAAGATCTGCTGTCCACGGGGATTGCCGTGGCCTGTTTTTTGGGTTAAGCACCCTGACTGGCAGAAGTCTCCCATGATATTTAACAGACTTAATTTCCAGTGTTACAGTCATTGAAGTTTCAGTTAAGAACCGGCCAGTCTTATTTGGCACATGAACTCAGAATAAAATCACTCACTGCTAATGGGGGTAGTGCTCACCATTTAATCTTGGGTTTTTTTCTTAAGTTTCTGGGCTCTAAATCACAAAAGAAATTACATAATTTATAATTAAGGCAAATTTCCTTCTACCAGATAAATTATCCTAGATATAAAAGAAGTTGCAAAATTATTGCTTAAATCAATAGAAATTATTCAAACACTGAAAAGTGCAGTTCTAAAAACTCATGAAAGAATATAGAACATACAACTATAAAATGTAAAATACAGTTATTGATATTTGAGTCTTTTCAAATATCAGCCATTTGAGTTTGCTATACAGGGATTTTAAATATAGAATTTAGTGTTTTGTGGTCTGAGGACTTCATGAGTAACACAACAGATCTTAACTGGGAATATATTGTATTAGAATTCCAAAAATAATTATCTTCATAATAAACAGAGAAGAAAAGCAAAGAAAAAAAACACCCATTTACAGAAATCTAAAAGAAAGAGTTCACCATAAATATGTACATTAACAGCCACTTTCTATATCTCATGCTGATTCTCAGAGGTAGGGTAGCATGCCTTGGTGAGAACTGCTTTCTCAAAGCCTTGTTTACCACAATGCTTACTCCTGCTGCTATTGATCCCTGCAAACAATGATTACTCAAGCACAAGATTTTCTTTTTGTCCAATCTCAGCAGGAGACAAGAGCAGCAAAGCACCTGGATTGGCACAGAGCTCCAAAGAGGAGTGCTTTGCTGCCCACAGCATAAGTCACTCACAGCCTGCAACCTGCCTTCTCTGCCATTCGAATTTCCTCCCAGCAACTCCAGAATTTTAACCCAAGGTGTCCTGTCCATATTCGCACCAGTTGCCTCCTCCCTGGAGCAGAAGTGTCACCACATCCACCTGGTGCTACAAAGGTGAAGAGCTGCGTGAACTTCACTTACTAATGGTTGCTAAACTGCACCCTTAGTTAGCATGGACTTCTTGAGGGATTTGAACATGTTACCAGACAAAGGAAATAAAATAATTTCAAAAGTGGCAAGGGCTCTAAACTACAAGAAATCTTTGACAATAACAGCAAAATTACTTGCTGACTAGAAAAGTAGTATTGATTTTTTAAAAAAAATATATAAAATTTTAAATCTAGACATAAAAATGACATATTATAAAATCTGAAACTTCCGTTTCCTTGACATTCCAATAGTACTTATTACAAAACAAAAACAAAACAAAACAAAATTATCTTTGGTCAAATGCCAACATCTAGGTTTGCCAACTGAGTTCCAGCTCTGTTTGTTATTATTATTGTGTAAGTTTGGGCAACATTTCTTTCACCCCTCAAATGCAAAGAGTCAGGTAAGGAAACACTGAGAAAACATGGATAAAGGTACCTGCAGGTGCTCATCACTTCTTGAACTTGAGGGCACATTCGGTAGTTCCCATAAGTCTTGGATTCCATGCATTACCTATGATGTGCACATTTTCTCTGTAGATATGTGGATGTATACCACTTTTAAGATTTCTGTTTGGCATTGTGGAACAGTGGTTTAAACTGCCACCTGCAATACTGGAATCCCACATGAGTGCTAGTTCAAGACCTGGCTACTTTACTCCAAATCTAGCCCACTGCTAATGTGCATGGGTAGAAAACTCAGAGTTCTGGGCTCCTGGCTTTTGCCTGGCCCAGCCCTGGATATCGTGGTCATTTGGAGAGTGAACTGGTGGATAGAAAATATCTCTTTCTCTCTCTCTAAATCCACCTTTTAAATAAATAAATAAATCTTTAAAAAAAAAGATTTCTACAAAGAAATTCTGATGGGAAGGAATGAAATTTAGAAACGAGGGGGGCTGGTGCCATGGCTCACTTAGTTAATCCTCTGCCTGTGGCGCTGGCATCCCATATGGGCACTGGGTTCTAGTCCCGGTTGCTCCTCTTCCAGACCAGCTCTCTGCTGTGGCCCAGGAAGGCAGTGGAGGATGGCCCAGGTGCTTGGCCCTGCACCCGCATGGGAGACCAGGAAGAAACACCTGGCTCCTGGCTTCAGATCGACTCAGCGCTGGCCATAGAAGCCATTTGGGGAGGGAACCAACAGAAGGATGACCTTTCTCTCTGTCTCTCTCTTACTGTCTATAACTCTACCTGTCAAATAAAATAAATAAATAAATAAATCCTTTAACAAAAAAAATGAGAGGGTCGAAGCCAAATAATTTAATTTTAGCTGTGCAGTGTTATAGGATAGAACTGGTACAAAAAGTATTGTGTTTGAAAATGTGTTATGTACAAATGGATAGCATTCAGACTTGGACATATGTTTCCATACACATGTATTTCATTATGCACAAATCAGATCTTGCAACCAATGTCAATGTCACTCACTCACCAATGCCTTTGTGATGCACACTAATGGGCAATGGGCCTGGCTGAAGGTTACAGCCAATGGCAACTCTCTTCTTGGTTGCTCATTCTACCAGCTAAGCTCAATGTTCAACTACAGATTTCCCTGTATTCTCCAATCTGTTTATGCCACTTCCAAGTAAAACTTATCTTGTCATTGTAGCTGTGTAATTTACTTTGCAAGCCACACAGAATGTGAGTACAAAATGAAACAGTTGTTCCCACCACTTAAACTCCCTGGAAAGACTCAGTCATACAAATTCAACATACATTTGTGAGTAATATGTATAAGAGAAGTGGTCAAGCTGAACTTCAAAACAATGGGAAAATTTTGGAAATCACCAATGAACAATACAGCTCAAACACCTTCACAGATGTCCTTGAGTTTTGGTATACTTTAAAGCAACTGAAATTGAGTATCACAAGTGATAAGGCTGTGATACACAAAAAAGGGTAAATACAATTCCTAAATAGAAGCTGCCTCCTCAAAGAAAAAACCCTGGATCCTACATCAAAAGTGCAGCCAAGGGCCGGCGCCGTGGCTCACTAGGCTAATCCTCTGCCTTGCGGCGCCAGCACACCAGGTTCTAGTCCCGGTGGGGGTGCCGGATTCTGTCCTGGTTGCCCCTCTTCCAGGCCAGCTCTCTGCTGTGGCCCGGGAGTGCAGTGGAGGATGGCCCAAGTGCTTGGGCCCTGCACCCCATGGGAGACCAGGAGAAGCACCTGGCTCCTGCCATCGGATCAGCACGGTGCGCTGGCCGCAGCGCGCTGGCCGCGGTGGCCATTGGAGGGTGAACCAACGGCAAAGGAAGACCTTTCTCTCTGTCTCTCTCTCTCACTGTCCACTCTGCCTGTCAAAAAAAAAAAAAAAAAAGTGCAGCCAGTGAGTATACATTTATACCATTTATACATTCTAAGGTAAATGTTTAGTGTTGTATATATCTTTCTATATGCTTTCCCACTTCTATTTTAAAACATTATCAATTAATTAGGGAGCAAGTCTTCCTGGTGGCAGTCTCTTACCTCTGTGTGTTTGTGTGTGTGTGTGCTGGGGGGGAATACCTATGCATTCACACATTCACATATGTGTGTACCTAGACTTCAAATATTTTTACAGCTGCATAGTTTTTTAAAAAAGTGTATAAAGATTTTAAGAAATAATGGAAACTTTAAGTTAATGCAGGTCAATGCATCTTACCAGAAAAAAAATGTAACAAAAGAATAGTTGGGAAAATTTACTTTTAAAAATATTTAAAAAGAGAAGCAGTTATTGTAAAAGCAAACGTTTGACCTACTTATTTGGCATATATGGTAACATTCTGTATCTTTGGTTATTGGAGACTCTGAAGATGAGCAAATCCAAAGAATAAACTAAAATTTTTCGACTATGTGCAAATATTCACGTTAAACAATTAGATGAAATGACCAACTTCCTAATGCTTTTGTCACTTGCGTGTGCCATTTAACAACTCTATAAGTATTATTATGATCATATTAACTCATTTAAAATAGAAAATGTTTAATTTTTCTCTCAGATGAAAAACATTTTATTTTAGACATACTTCCAAGTAAACATTTTGGTTAAGAAATAAGAATTTTAAGTGCTGGTGCTGTGGCATAGAAGATTAAGCCTCTGCCTGCAATGCCAGCATTCCATATGAGTGCTGGTTCAAATCCCAGCTGCTCCACTTCTAATCCAGCTCCCTGCTAATGGGCCTCAAATCCACTGGAAGATGGCCCAAGTGCTTGGCCCCTGCGCCCTTGTCGGAGACCGGGAGGAAGTTCCTGTCTCCTGACTTGGCCTGGGCCAGTCTCTGACACTACTGTCATTTGGGGAGTGAATCAGCAGATGAAAGATTTCTTTCTCTCTCTCTCTCACTCTCCCCCTGTAACTCTGCCTTTCAAATAAATAAAATAAATCTTTTTGGAAAAAATAATATAATTTTAAACAATTCAATGAGATAGTCTACACTGATTAGAAAACAACTTTTTGGTGGGAAGAGGAGTCATTGTGATACTTTTGTATAACTGAATCCACATTCTCTGGTGGTGTTCATATATTACAAGTGATACTTCCCCAAGCAAGCTGATTTGAATTAAAATTTTAAGAGAAACAATAGCCTTTGGGCATTTCCTGTAGAGATAATAACAATTGAATAGGATATTGTCACAGAAAAATGTGGAGGCTTTCCTCTTTAATGGAAAGGTAATGCTTGGCCAAAAAAAAAAAAAAAAACAAACACTGTACCAATCTCTACATTTAGTTTCAAAAGAAAAATCATTTATTCTGTGACTATACAGTATTCCAGTGACTTTCTGTAAAATGCCACGTGCTACATGATTCATGCAAATGGATTCGTTTTAATGCAATGGAGACTTCAAAGTGAGCAAGAGCCTCTCAAAATACAGTATCACTAAGGCTTGCATTTGATATCTCACAGGGCTTGAATGGTTTGCACCTTCTATCATGTGTATGCATTGTAACATGACAAATAGAAATGACACTACTTTCATACAAAGTGGCCACAGCTCTTTGCAAAATAACCCTTATTTTTCTTGATACACTTTGTGTCATGATTCTCTGTTTTCCTAATGCTTGGCATAAAGATAAGTTGGAAATTCTTTTAGCTTATCCCTTCATTGAAAATACAAAGATCACCATTTCCAAATATCAAGACAAATGAAAGATAAGTTATACAAATTAATATCAGGAGGGCATTGAGACAGTCTCAAATGTTGTTCCTAACAATAAGAGCTGAGCTGTATAATGACCTGTAATCGCAAGTGTGAAAAACTGCTTTTTTTTTTCTTACGCACCTCAGGAACCAAAACTCCTGAAGTGGGCAGAGTCTGCTGAAAAAGAGAAGTTCATATTAAAGCTGAAAAAAATCAAACTGAAAAAAAAACAACAAAGGAGGTTCTTATATCACTATACACCTGTGAAATTAGTGAGCACATTAAAAACATACTTCCTTGGTATAATTTTTTCTGAATTAAATAAGTGAATATCTTGTCATTAAACAAAGTGTGTTTTCATGCAGGGTGGATTGCTTTGGCAAATTATTTATCCAAAATACAAATTCATCTAATCAATGAACATTAGTCAGCATCCTTGGCTGGTTTCAGGGACTTCTCTCCAACATGAACAAATTCTATTTGCCTTCTGGAAGGACTCTTTTCCAAGTCCATTTACCCTTTATAAACAATTTCACAAACTTTTTAAGTCTGCATCTTTGTCCATCCTACAGTTGCATTTCCATCCAGTTTTCATTTCTTCCTATGAATACTCAATGTTTTTTGGATTTAGACAGTTTATGGTGCTGATTTTATTTTATGATACTGTAGAACTCAAGTATCAAATGGATAATGAAACAAATATCAAGACTTTTATGTGGTAATCATTGAAAACAAGATGAGGTAAAAGGCATTAAAGCTGTTGTCTTCACAACAGTGCATCATTAATAATCTAAGAACACCATGCCCTCTCCCCTTTCTTAGTCACACTGGAAAGGTTTGCATTCCTCTTTGTGTTTTGTGCCCAGAAACAGAGACAAGGTTCTTGAATTCTAAAATCCTGCCAGCTGTGGGACCTAGAACACAAGACATGAGCTTGGGAGAGTGTTTGACAAACCACACACACAATCCTAGCTAAAGGTTTCCCATGATGATGGGATGAGAAGCAAGTTGAATGGGAAGGTAGGGGTTCCCTGGTATTTGTGTGTCCCTGGAAAGAAAGCCACAAGCTGCATATTTCATTGTCTTCCCCTCATCCAAGATATGCCAGGTAGGTTCTGGGTGGATGTTAGATCACCAAGATGGGTCTGAAAACTCTGAAGATACCACTTTACTTCCTTACTCAGCAGAAGCATAGAAAGGCAGTAAGAACCAAAAGAACAACTGAACCTATGTGAGGTATGTCCTCAAAACTGTGCAGCATGGCAAAGGACTAGAAGAATCCAACACTGCCCAAAGTGTTAAGAAGGAGAAAGAATGTAGAGTAACCCTGGATAAAATGTAGGTTTTCAGGAATGCCACCCAACTAAGAAGACATTTGCACAATGCAATGAGAAAATGCTGCACCTGCAGATTTCTAGGCAAAGAATTCATGAAGTCTGGAGCATGACCTCTGCTCAAATGTTCCATGGGAAGGAGAATCCTATGGAAGTGATTGTTGTTTTGAAGGTGCAGTCTCAACAGATCTGGCAGGGCTTTCCTTGAAAGTTTCCTGGTTCTGTAATATTCTTGACTTTGGAGTCCACGTCAGCTTCATAGCACCTGGGACAAGGAGTGCTGAACAAAATATTTGTGCTGGTGTCTAAATGGGCAGGGCCAAAGCTGTTTGTCAGCCTTAGGGTCTTTCTTTCTCAGTCCCAGGTGGAAGCTTGAAGCCTGAACAAACACTGTAAGACAGCCATGGAATCTTACCTTCTTACCAATTTATAAATGTTTCTTCTCCCTGCAATCCAGACTAGGTGCCCTATTCTTAGGGATCCTGACCTTGTCCTATGCCAGGAGACTCAGATTCTCAGAAAGCAAGACCAGACCCTCCTCAAGAAGCCTGCAGAGCCTGGGTCACATATAGCTTCTACCTTGGAAGAGTTGTGCTCACTCTGCCCGCATCTATAGCAAGCAAGCACTGGGAAGCCAAGTGAAAAGGCTCAGCATAACCACATCATACAATGCAAGAGGTTCAAGTCTATCCTGTCCCACCTTCACATCTACCCCACTAAAGACAGATAAATAAATGTAACCTATCAAAGGTACATCTGGAATAACTGTGACTATTTGAATGTGCACATTACACAATGATTGTGAATTTTCTTACTTGCGAGAACAGTGATGTCTCTTGGTAGAAAATTGTTCTTAATGGTAGAAAACAGCTACTGAAGTATTTAGCGATTCAGCATCATACTGCATGTAATTTACTTTCAATATTTCAACTTAGGTGGTGGATGTTTGGACTGGTACTTATGATGGAAGTTAAGAAGCCCATGTCCTACATCAAGGAGCCAGAGTTCAGTCCTGGCTTTGGCTCCTGACATGAGCTCCTGCTACTGAGCACCATGGGAGCAGCAGGTGGTAACTCTATTAGTTGGGTCCCTGTCACTCATATAGGAGGAGAAGAGGATTGAGATCTTTGCTCCCAGTTTGGGTCTTGCACAGCTTCTGCTGTTGTGGGCATTTGCAGAGTGAACAAATAAATAACTCATCTGTCTGTTTCTTTCTGCATCTCAAATTGAAAAAAAAGGTTCAATTTAATTATACGTATAGTACTTAATATATTGAAAAAAGGTTCAATATAATTATGCATATAACATAAAGTATAAATACAAACATATATGTATTATATATACAATATTATATACAGATATATTATGTGTTATATATACATATATGTGTGTATATAATATATTGTACACATATGTGTAATACAAAATAGACATGCATTATACATAGTGATATATGCTCATACATACATAATTATACATGTATGTATAATAGGCATATATTATATGTGGTATATAGTATGTACATAGGTATAATATACATTGAATTATACTACATAAAATGTATATTTAATATTTATTATATAATGCATATATATAGCATGCGTATGTGTGTTATATAAGGGGACTTCAAAAAGTTAATGGAAAATGGAATTAAAAGATATTGCAAAATTTACATGAACTCTTTGAAACTCCCTTGCATATAGTACATACAGAATATATCTCTGCTATATATGTTTATGCGTTCCTGCATACACACATACAAATACATACTAGTTCACTGTATTGTGTTTGAGGATTTGCATAAAAATGTTGGCGAGAAAACTACTTTCTCTTTACCTTCATACGGTATCTTTAATGACTTAAAACATAAAATTTTTCTGCTACTAAATAAAACCTATGTATATTATCCCAGGGAAAACAGTGTGGTCTCTAGTTTTAGAGAGAAGGCAAGGAGTAGGGGGAGAAGAGCAATGAATACTACTTTTGTGGAGACGTAGAGGTCTCTTTTTAACAAAGAGGAAACAGAAGTAAGCATTTTGGCTACTGAGTAAAAGGAGCAGAGACAGAGAGGGAAATGCTAAATGATAGGCAAGGGGTTCTTTAAGGAGCAGCTTTTTAGCTGGGGCTGAAGCCTACACAGAGAGGCATTAACTATTATGGAAAAACACAGAGATGTGGGTTTTGTACTCACAGCTGTCTCCAGTATGAAAACCTACAGGGTCTGAGAAGGTAATACAAGTGGGTGAACCCGACACCACCACAGGTAATGAGCACCCCACTAGAAGACACCCAGAGGCAGCAAACAAAACACAACCTTGACAGCTGCCATTGATCCTGATCTCTGCCCCTGGGTGGAGCCTTAGCAATCCCTTGGCATTACTGCTCAAAGGCAGGCACATTTTTTCTGAGAGAGTGGGCACTGGAAATGGGTCTGGCAAAAACAAAGTGGGACGCCAAGGAGACATGGGCAAGATCTGTCCCTACAGCTCTGAGAAGGGCAGGCAGTTGACACAGAATGAGTTACAGGGGAGAGAGAACCACCAGCCCAGACCACAGCTGTCTCCATTCACCATCAGCCTTCTGCGAGCCCCTCGGTGAATTCACACGAAGACTATGGTTGATGAAAGCAATATAGATGTGAGCCACGCACAGACACAACGTGTAGACCATCTGTGTATCAGATGGACATGCATATCAGTAGCTTATTTCTGAATCACAACAAGAATACCACAATTCCGGGGTTAAAAAGAGAAGAAGCCTAGCACCCAGCATCTACTTAGAAAACAAAATCAGATATTAAAGTGCTTCTGTTTTAAATATCAAGATGAGCAGGGCAAATGATTTAGTGTTTTTTTTGCAAATTATTATGAGTATATAATTCCAAACGTTATATATTTTTAATCAGAATTAATAGAGGAACTCTATATTTTTATTTAATCAAATGTGAGGTGTGACTACAGAGGGATGTGATAGGTTTTATTTAATCAGTATCCTTTTAATATTAAGTAGAATACACTGTACAGATAATTAGGTTAAAAGATGCATTTGCCTTCAGGGCACTTATTAAGTTCAAACTAATATCAAAGAATTTCTAAAAATCCTATTACTCTTAAGTATTAGGATATTTCTTGTCTTCATATTTTCTAATGTGTAATCATTTTAAATTGACAATTTAATCCAAATTGTCACAGGACAAAGAAAAATCTTTGGTGGGGATGATTGGAGGTTTGATTTAGTTAAAGTATAAGAAAAGTACCGTACTCACATTAAAAGGGTCATTAGTTATTGCAAGACTAAAGTGAGATTAACAAAATCATACCTTACCCCTATATAGGAATGGTCATATTTTTGAAAAATGGCTTTCATATTTATTGACCCATTTAATATTCCCGCTAAACCAAGATGCTCCAGTTTTCTGACTGGGAAACTGAAAATCATATAGGTGAGAGCAGCCCCAGAAAATGAGGTCAGGGACAGGATACTGCTGCCTTGACCCCACACTCTGTTTATTCAAAGAGCAGCCACAAGAAATCATTTTTTGATTACTTTCTTAGATATGTCTCCATTTTTTAAAAGCTTCTTCTTTAAAACTTTTTATTTGCTCATTTTTATTTGTTTTAAAGATCGACAGACAGGTGAACAAAGACAGCTCCTCCTCCGGTTCACTCCTCAAATACCCACCACACTGTGGACAGGCCAGGCCAGACTCTGGAGACAGGAACTCAGTCAGGCATCCTGTGTAGGCAGCAGGGACCCAACTCCCTGAGCCATCACCTGCTGCCTCCCAGGATGCACATGAGCCGGAAGCTGGAACTGAGGACAGAGCCAGGATTCGAACTCAGG